TCTTTTTTTCTTTTTTTTTTTTTTTTTTTTTTTTTTTTTTTTTTTTTTTTTTTTTTTTTTTAAGGGCATTTCCATTTTCTATGACTTCCTTCAGAGCAAAGATGGATGTGGCGACATTTATAAGGGTTTGTAACCCTCCGAAAAGTATCCGATTTCACGACAACTTCGCTGCACTTTATCACTAAAGCGAGGAAAGGGCGGGAGGTAGAGGGAGGGAGGGGGAGAGGGAGCGAACACGGGGAGAGGGACCCAAATTCAGAACGGGCTCATAAAATTTAAATAAGAAAAGTGCAATGCTCCTTGTTATTGTCCAGCTCAGACAGCTTAGACTGGTAGCTGCTTTGAGTACTAAATGATTTTATAGGGCTGTTTGACCTTAGAATCATTGATGTTACACTTGCCATTTCTAAGGGGAGACAAAAATACTCCACACATCCTCTAGCTGCAGTGCGAGTCCCAGCCGTAGCTGAGTGTCGAGGGGTTGGGAACTTTATAAACTCATTTGATTCATTTGAGGTTTCACAATAGCCAAAAAGTTCCTTTATAGCTTTTTGGAAACCACATGCTAACACTGCATCTAAAGAGTGAACAGTGGAGTACACTAAAAAGCCAATAAAACCAAGGAAATCGTAGAGGGACCTTAGATACACGTTTCTTTGCAGCCACACACCAGTCACATACATTTCTTTCCATACATACAAACAAACCACTTTCAAATCCTCTACTTACAGTTTTCCAACCTGAAAATTAGGCAAAACCCCACCGTAAGAGCTGCCTCTTCTACCTGCACCTCAATCCGCGCACCCAGCAAGACAGAAACCACCCCAGGGCACTGCCATTTCCCCTATGCAAAAGTTTACATAACTTTTCCTGCGAGCCTATACTTCCAGCCGGTCCGCAGAGCTCCGGGATCTCCCGGAATATCTGGCGGGGCGAAGGCGAGCCCGGCGTGCTGGCAGAGGCGCTGCCATCCATCCATCCATCCATCCATGCACGCATCCATCCCCCGTGTGCCGCGGGGCACTCCCGCGGGGCTGGGTGTGCTCAGCCCACTCCCGGACACACGCACGCCTCCAGCCGGCTCCCGGCACGGAGCGGGGATGCTGCAGCCACAGGCACGGCCAGACCTACCTGCAATGACAGCCGGAGATCTCTGTCCGCCTTCGGCTTTCAGCCACACTTGCAAAGTGAAGGCATCTCGGGGCAGCTCAACGTCTGCCTTCAGCCGCAGCTGATCACCTTGGCCACTGAAATAGAGCGCCCTGCTCGGGGTAAGGGACTCCTCTTCGTCCTTTACCTCCCGCTGTTGCCTCCTGCGGGGGACATGCCCGGGCTCCAGCCCAGCAGTGGAGCGCCTTCCTCGGGCTAACCTGGTGGCACAGGTGCCCGGGGCAGTGTGGAGGAGCTGGCGGCTGTGCCTGGTGTCCCTTCGTGCCCTGCGGGAGCGCTCGTCCATCCCACATTCGGGTCCACTGGCTAGGGCTGTACAGAGAAGCGCAAGAGGCAGCAGCAAACTCCAGAGCTGCATTTCCAATCTTCCCCCCCCTTCTCCCCTGCAAATCCTCCCGATCTGCCAGCTTTGGGCTCCTCCTTGCCTTGACTTTCTTCTCTTGTTCACCCTTCTTGGTATTTGCTCTTTTTATAACCCTTCTCAGTTGCTTTTTCTTTTCTTTTTTTCTTTTTCTTTCTTTCTTTTTCCTGCTTATAGATTTTTTTTCTCCTTAAAACAAATAAAAATCAAATAAATCAAAACTCCTTCTTGGTTGAAATGTATTTCTCTGTTCTTCCTTCTCTATCTGTCTTCTTCTCCTCTATTCCTCCACAGCTGGAACTCCTCTCTCTCTTCTTTTCTCTGCTGAATTTTCTTCCCTTTATTTTTTTTTTCTTCTTAAAAAAACCACACACACTCTCACACACACTCAAAACAAAACAAAAAACCAAAACAACCCCCCAGCTTTCTCCAAGACTCAGACCCACTGATTTCCCTCCCCCCAAAAGATGCTCTAATCTATTTATTTTTTTGGCCTCCTTTATAACATAAGCCACAACCCCCTCCTTTCCCCCAACCTCCCCCCCTCCCTTCTTCTCCACAAAATGAAAGAAAAGAGAAAAAGCCCCTCAGAAGATGAGTAAACAAGAATATGCTAATCTACTCTAGGGTGCTCCACCTTCCCAATTGAATGATTCCCATTAAAACTGCAGGGATCATGACTAATCAATCAGCTTGAAGGAGCAGATAGCTCCAGAGGTTCAAACACTTTTGCTGTTTTCCTTTTCCTCCCTTCTTTTCCTCTCTTCCTCTCTATCCCCCTATCACTTCCCCCCCACCCCCTTATTTATTTTTTAAAGAAGACAATCAAGATGAATGGATCAATGTGACAAAAATCCTGCACCCCCCTTTTTGCAATCTCCCCAGCTTTCTTTCTCAGTCCAGTCCAAAACACACATTCCTATTTTTTTTTTTTTCTTGGCAAAAGAGAAAGCTATTTCTCCTCTCAGACTCCCCGTTGCACTTTGCTGGTAAACCTTATGCTCCTCTGCAGCACATAAAGAGTCTTGAAACTTGAGTCTCAGATATTTTTTTTAATTGCTTTCTTTCTTTCTTTCTTTCTTTCTTTCTTTCTTTCTTTCTTTCTTTCTTTCTCTCTTTTCCACTCTCTCTCTCTCTCTTTTTCTAATTCCTTCTTTTCCTCTTATTATTCTCTCAAAGTTATGCAATCAGCCAGGCTCCCCCTTTTGTGGTCCCCCTCAGTGCAGTTGTGTGCAGCTAATCCAAATGTTGCATCAAAGGTCCCCATCGAATCATCAGGAGCTAAAAGGAGAGAAGCTTTTTGAAGAGTATTTTCCTTCCAGAAGCTGTAGCAACAGAGTAGAATTTGGCTTTTGAGTGCTCCAAAGACTCCAAATATTATTTTTTGGAAATAATAATTTTAAAAAATCAATTATTAATTTTATTTGTGGATTGAATCAAAAAATCTTCTCTCGATATTGCTAATTTTCAGCCTAATGAATTCAGCTCCCTGGTTTCCTTGGCTTGGTTGTAGCCACAGGTAAGCTCCTGGCTGCTTGCTGGTTTGTAGATCTCTGTTTCTGAGCTGGGACGTTTCTTTTTTTTTTCCTCTTTTCTTTTTTTTTTCTTTTTTTTTAAATATTTTTTTTCACTCTTGAAAGATCTCAAAAGCTCCCCCTGATGGCAACAAAAAGGATTTTTCTAAGTCCTCAATCAGTGGAAATGACTTGGCAGTGGCGCTCACAGAGTGTCCGGGCCACTGCTCTCCTCTGAAGAAATCCAGTAAAAACAAGTTAAATCACACCAACCGCGGCCACAAACCACTCCCATCATCCTCTTCTTCCATCTCTAAACTGATTGTCACATCTTACTTTCCTACATATTTTTCAACAGGAATCATGCACCAGAGTTTTCCTGGGACTGGCATCTCTCTGCTTCTGCAGGCTCCCCTATTAGCATCGCTTAGTTCTGACAACTTCCATTTAAAATACACATTATAAAAGTAGTGAAAATCATTTTTTCCAATGAGAAAGGGCTGTTGCACGCTCACAAGTCTTCCAAAAAAAGTTATTTTTAAGTTTCTTGCTAATTTGAACACTCCATGATACACGACTGTCATTTTCAGTGGTGCTGGGTTTATCCACAAAGTCCCACCAGAAGCCAACCAGCAGCACAGCCTTAGAGCCCCTCTCTATTCTCCAGCCCATCCCTCCACCATAGCTCTTCCTACAAAAAAGACAAAATACTGGGAGCATCCACAAAGTTTATAATACAAGACCTCCAAGCCATTAAGCCTCTCAACAGCTGAGAGGAAATGTTTAACTGGGAAATAAACGGTACAAACTCCTATAAATGTCCTGAAGAACTCTCAGGGACATGAAAAAGACACTTCGCTCTGTGCCTGTTTGGCAGAAACAATTTAAGATCCGAGCTAAGTGCTGCACTGCACTGCTCTAACTTAGCTCGTAGAGGACACTGCAAATCAACCAAAAAATCCAGAAGTTTAAAGTGAACCTGTTCAACTTCAGCAAGAGCTAAACCAGGAGGAATCCTGCTTCCAGGACACTGCTTTCTCCATATGACAACTCCTCTGAGGTCCCAGGAAACTGCACATGTCAAGGCTGGAAGAGCAGGCTCTTAAAATAATGCTGGTTCCACTTTTTCCAGGAGAAAAAGCTAATTCTGTGAAATTGTGGTGTTTCTTAGGGACATCACGATTTGGCTGAAATCATCAAGGAAAATTACTGAAACACTTCAATTTGATAGCACTGCACCATTTAATTTTGGACATACGTGACCTTCTATCTCTTACAAAGGGTTTCACTGTGACCAAATCACACTTCAATGCATCAGCCTGCAGCTCCAGTGACAAATTCTGGGATATTCTTGCTGCAGAGGAAAAGCCCAGAGCTCTGCTTCCTGTACTTATGGAAGACAAAAAAAAAAGTATGGAAAGATGGGATTTACCTCCAGCCCAAAAATTGCATCTTCAAGCAGTTCTATTCTGAAGACACAGTGAAAGCATAGAGAAAATGTAATATATAAATTCTAGATGTGATAGAAAATGAAGTGGAAGAGATTTGATTTTAGCAATAGTGAGTAAATCTTCGATTCCTTAAGTCTGTGGGTCAAATCTAACTTCCCTGACCAGATGAAATTCTCCCCTGCACAGATGGACATTTATTCTCTGCTTAAGCCAGTACTTAAATGATGTACAGACCTGGCAGAGAGGTTCCTGTCCAAGGAGAATAATCCTACTGCTGCACTTGAGTGTAATATTCTCCTCAGGAAAGGGAGACGGAGATTGTCTTGCATCAAGAGGTATTTTCATGAGGAAAAGGCAAAAAAAAAAAAAAAATAAAGCATCTAACCCTAGTTACACATATAGAGAGAAGAATTAGAATAGATATTTATGACACTATGCCAAAAAATAGCATTGAGCTAAATGCTGTATGCAGTCATTATAAGGAGAAATACTCAGCAGGAATCTTAGCTGAAGCTGCCAATAACTCCCAGGTTCAAGACTGGAGCTGAGTGAATAAATCATAACAAATAATGGTTTTGTCAAATTTCGACTTTTTTCCCTCCTATTTGCAAGTAGACTGCGAAACCTCTCAAATATGTTTGAAATTACATGGCCATTCCTTCCTCGCCGTTAGTATTTCTCCGAGGCCAATTAGCACACAATTTGCTGTAATGTACACATTTTCACATTTGTTCTGTGTTAATTGGGCAAGGAAGTCACACAGCATTATTTCTGGCTCCCTGGGGGGTCAGGTTTAATCACTCATGATACAGTAAAATTACTAATTTTACATACGATGGGAGTTTCCATGGTTGAAACTCTCCTTGCGAAAAGCGGCGCTGGCTCTTCAAATTACTCACACGAAGGTCAATTAAAAACAATATTTCTTGAAAGTTGAGCTGAAAAGTCTGCCAGATACAACTGAATTGAGGCCCTACTATTCTGGGTAAGTATTTGTGCATATTTGTCCTCTCCATGCACAACTCCATCAATCACAGCAGAGGTTTCACAGTCTTTACCCCTCACCGATATCCCAATCAAGTCTCTCCCAACTTGGCTTGGGTTAAGGATGGCTGGAACACAATCCAACAGCTACTCTGCTCAGAATCAGACAGGGCCCAGACACCAGATTTTAACACAACGTGTTGGATTCAGGGCATATTTTATGCAATCAGCAATGGTATGATCGGAATCACGCTGCCTCCACAGAGCAGCATGGAATGAAACCCAAAGAGCTGAGAAAAGCTTCAAAGAAAAGGGGATTTGGGCACCCAGGCTTGTGAATCCCATGAAGTCCAGCATCTTTTAAGAGAAATAGAGTTACTTGCTTGGTGACACAGTGGTGGTGCAGGGGTTGCAGTGGGGGGAGTGTGGCCACAGGTCCTCGTGAGCCTGAGGAAACACTAATGAATGAAATGCTAATAACTGAAAAAAAAACAACAGTGAAAACATGTGAAGCATGCTCTGTCTTGGAAAAGAGTTAACAGAAGACCTAATGTGGACTCAGTGTAAATCCACCAAATTTTTCATTGTTTTCTCTATCCGTCATTCCTCCTCTTGTTTAAAACAGAGTGATTGAAAGTCTGTGTTCTGCCTCCACTGTCGCACTCCATACTGATAACAATCCTGATTTCAAGGATTTATAACTATTGCCTGCACACTCATCATTGCACACAACTCCACTCACTTGAAATCACAACACCAGCTCTGTGCTGCCTTTATTAGTGGATAAGAGACTCTTCTGCTGCTGGTCCCTCAGCTGCCCCTTATGTAAAATACTCTGTTAATTTACATCAATAAAACAGCCCCATGTCAATTTGAAAAACACCCTTTAATCCAGAAAAGTTTACTGAACAATTAAGAAGTGCAATAAATGACAATCAAGACTAAACGCATAATTGATGACTTTATGAAGGTTTCAGTAATTTTATAAGGTAATTTGCAGTCAGTGGCTATAAATTTCTATTTAAACCTGGCATACCACTCTTTTTTG